CAGTATCAGTCTCACAAAACAATTTCATTTCTACTTCGTAGGTTTTGGATTGGCTAATTAATTGATTGCTTAATTTGGTGGATTTACCAAGCATAATTATTAGCAGACCAGTTGCCAAAGGGTCTAGAGTTCCCGCATGCCCCACTTTTTTAATGTTTAATTTCTTGCGAATGATTTCAATAACCTTATGGGAGGTGATTCCGGAGGGTTTGTCAATCAAAAGAAGGCCGTCCATATTGAAATTTATTTAAATAAAAATCGCATAAAATTAATTAATCAAAAGCATGGTCTACAGACAAAAAGGTAAGAAGGGATGAACCAGCAAACTCATTTTGGCTTCCTTGTTAATGATAAACATTTTTTTGCTGGCTTCGCTGGTTTTACACTGGTACACTGCTCGGGGAATGAAAGATAATTTCAATGATTTTTCCCAGCAAATAAAAAAAGAATTAAAAAATTTTTCTCAAATAGTTAACCAAGCCGAAGAAGAATTACAAAATATCCAAAAAGAAATCAAAGGATTAACCAAGACTATTGAGGAATTAAACGCGATTGAAAGGGAATTAAAAAATATCGCCACTAGTTTGACCGAATTGAATAAAACTGGGGAGGAGTTAAAAGAGACCGGAGAAAATATTAAGGGGAGTTTAGACGATCTGGGAGGAATAAAAGAAAAGATTGCTGAATTGGCTAAATTAGAAATTCCTTTATCAGAATTAGAAAAGACTGTCGGTCAAGAAGGAGGAAAGATTGCTAAAGAATTAAAAGAAAAAATTGGTGGTCTTATTTACAACCTTAACGAACTCAAAAAGATTATTTGCCCCACTTGTTTCAATTGAAATTTTAAAATTAATTCTAGTTCTTTCTCGCTAAGTAATAACACTATCGAAAAAAGAAAATGAAAAAGAATCTTTGCTGACGAAAAGTTGGTTATTTCCGGAAAAATAGTCACGGTTAAGTATTCGAAACAACAATCATGATTTGGAAATGGTACATTTGATAGAGAAGAAAAGGATACTAAAAAAGATGTTACTTTTAGAAAAAAGGGGGAAATAGGAAATTGAAAAGACCAAGAAGAACCCAAAAG